AAAAAATCACTGACTATTTAAAATATTAAGTGACCACATATAGTTTTGATTTACATAGTATATCGAGCACCCCAATGTGACATGCCATCCAATAGATGCAAGATTTTGCACACAGCAGTTGTCTGTAAAACATGACTACATACCTGGTATATTTAATCCTAGAATAAAGAAACAGGTGGATGTTTATGATCAATTTAAGTTAGAAAATGACCAGGAAAACGCTCAAATTAGATATTTTAGAAACTAATATACTGTTTTATCTTGCAATGTCCTTATTTCATATTATTATTTTTATCGTTATTACAGTAAATATTATTTGGTTTTCTATTAGCATGCACCTATTCGGCAGAAGTTCATGTGTACTTACATACAGCATTTTCTCGATTTACTGCTATGTGGTAACGAGGAATGGATTATTTAATTGACTATATTTGGATTTTTTGTTTTTGTTTGGCGATATTCACATATTCTTCTCTTGATTAACACTTTAAACGTATTCAGATTATACCAAAGCTTTATGTATGAAGATTATTTTTGAATGGTGTACCGTCATTTGCGTCAATGATTATTGAAGATTTTATTAATATGGTAATTATTTTTTGAACCGGACCAATTTTATATATGACGTAATAACATTTTGAAACCATATAGCGACAGGTGTCAATTGGCCTAAGTTAAGGTTAGAGTTAGGGTAAGGGTTAGAATATAGGTTGGCCGATTAATGCCGATCATTTAATGCCGGCCAAGCGATCAACGCCTCAGTTATCACTTGAGGCAAAACATGGGTATGATGCATATAAAAAGGAACATCCAATCAAAGCATGGAAATTGAACAGAAACACTTCACGCACCATATAATCATGCACTTAGTCGCATCCGTTTCTGGTATAAGGGGTTTTCTATAGTATTTTGATAGGCGTTTGATAATTGCTAAAATATTTTTACCAAGGTTTTAAAAAATTTCGATTTTAATATGTTAAAATTAGCGATAGATAATTGGATAATATTATATATTGGTTATATCATTAAATACCGAACATCTTTTTGAATTGGACAGAATATGGGTGGTCCAATGTTCAACCCAACATAGCAGTATCGTACAACCCTTATTATTATATATACGTATACGTATAAAGGATGTAATGTAAGGCTTGTATGACCTATTAACAAAAAAGAATTTCTGACGTAACAGCACAAAATTTTGCTGCCTCAAGTAGATTATCATGCAGCAAGAAAGCCATTGTACTACCATATAACCGCAGAATCTTAATATCCAACTTAAGATAAATGTTAACGAAACTATTAATCGCAGTGCTGGATTATAAGAAATACATCTTCCTACTGCATATTTTAGTTCTATAAATACTAATATTATTCATAATGTTGTTTTCAAGAAACATTTCTCAAGTACTTTATTTGAATAATTGTAATTACGTCACGAAATTCATCTTGTGTTTCTTATGTTTTTTTGATGGATAGGATGAATAGATAAAGCCAATTAGCATTTTAAATTACGTAGTAAATTTCTTATATGGATATTTATTTATCGGCAGTCGCTCATTTCCTGGCAGCCATTTCATTTACCCGCCATCACATAAGGTTAAGAGTTAGCTTTTATTATTTGCAAGTATATATTTTTAGTAAATCGTAACCTGTGTGGCGTCGGGTAAATAACCTGCAGGGGAAACGAACGTTGAAATGAGGCGTGAACTTCTTTGCCATACAATTTCATTCATTATCCATATTTATACTTTCGATTATTTTTAGCAGTGACCAAGGTTGGCAATTAGACAAAGTGGGCATATAACAATTCATATATGTCCAATTCTGGCTAAATAATTAGAGATATAAGTAATGCCATCCATGACAATGACAAAATAAAAGTAAAAGATTATAAACTATTATTTATGTTAAGTGAAAAGTAAAAATATTTCGATCTTTGCTAGAAAGTCTCTAGAACACTGAAAAGTAAGATATAAATAAGCCATAAGAAACACGCTTGCCAATGTTTCAATATAATAAAACCAAGA